TGGCGCTGGGCGTGGCTGGAGGGGGCGGGGCCAGATGGCGTTTAGCAGCTGGAGCAGGAAGTTAGGTGGAGTTTCTCCATCCTGTTCTCCAGGAAACTTATTTCCACATCCAGCGGCGAAAAGGTGCTACGCTAACATGAGTTAGCGGCGGCGCACACCGGGAGCTACGCCAACAGCTGATATACCTGCGTTTATGCGAGTTATAATTAAGGGTTTGGGTTTTCCTCGCTGAACACGACGCTTAGCAGCAAAACCAGATATCTAAAGAAATGTGGTTCAAGCTAGTGGCAGATAGAGATGCACTTCTGCCATCTGCTGGCACTTTGTGGTATTGGATTTTCAAAAGTCTAACTTAGTCTTCAAGCATTCATGCAATCTCTGATCCCATGCCCCCCACACCCCCCGGCAGGGCCTTAGTTATATATATATATATTTGTTTTCTTTCTTTAATCCCTGGTTTTAGTTTTAGGTATAAATAATCATCCATGTGTTACCCCTCGCTGACTGGATTTTCCTTTAAAAGACTGAACAGCACTGCTGCCGTTTGGCCACCAGAGGGAGCCAATATGAACTTAGGAAGTATTTCAGGACAGCAGGAAACCTGAATTAATTCTTTTAACAAGTTTATTTTTTAAAATATTTGACAGGAAATGAATAATCAGTGTGAGGAGAGAAGACGGAGGGTGGATTGGTTCCAGCTGAACTGAAGCTTCACACCCTGAGACGTTCCTCGCCTGTCATCTGACCTGCTTCCTGCTGTGGCTCAGGTCGGTTGCTTGGTCTTCAGGAAACTTTAGTTTCTTGCGTTTGATGTATTTTAGTTCCTGCAGCTAAGCTGATTGGACAGAAGGTGCTCTCATCTTCTCTGGTTATTGTTGTGCTGGATCAGGGGGTGCAGCAGCGTGGTGTCTCTGCAGAGGACCAAGCTTCTGAATGAATAGTTGATGAGGAGAAACAGGCGTCCTCTGTGGCCGAGCTGTGAACTCATCTGCTCTTTGTTCAGCTTCACAATGCAGCTCCTTGTTTGACCCGGTGGGTCAGAGGAGCAAACACTCCAGCCTTTGAGGGTCTGCTCTGAGATAAACAGCAGCAGACGGAGCAATGGTACGCTCTCCCCATCGCACCATGGCGGAGCCAGAAGATGTCCTTGGAGTGACCCTGAGCCGCTGCTGCTGCTAAAGATCCAGAAAAACACGAAGAGAAAAGGTGGAACCACCTGAAGAAAGACGACCGTTAAAGATCAGTCAGCTTCATGATCTATAAAAACACGTTATGTTACCACTGTGGCTGTGAAAGCGGCCATCTTGGAAAGAATGATTCATCTTCCAGGAGTCCACCTCCCAGAAGGTCCAGCCTAAAGCCCCACCAGGAGGTTCAGAGTCTGCAGGTCAAAGGTCATGGCCCTCAACCAGTCTGGAAGGGACAGGATGGACCATGATGGACTGAACCAAACCCAGAAGATCAGTTCAAACACCTCTAACCTAATGTCAGGCACGGTGGTGGAGGGATGGTGCTATGGGCCTGCTCAGGCTGCACTAAGAACTGGACAGCTGGAGTCACCCAGAGGACCATGACCTCCTCTGTAGACCGCTGAAGCTCGGTCCACTCTGGTCTGCAGCTGAGGGTCTAGTCAAAGCCCAGACCTTCAGTCTGAACCCTGGAAGCTTTGGACAGAAGGTCCACTCAGACCTTCAGTCTGAACCCTGGAAGCTTTGGACAGAAGGTCCACTCAGACCTTCAGTCTGAACCCTGGAAGCTTTGG